TGACTTCGATGGCTACACTCTTATTCCTTCTTAATCTATTAAGATCTTGGCCTCACCATCTCCTCTGGTCTCAGAACTTCAGATGTCATTACTAAAACTGCCCCTCGAAACTCAGTGCCTTGCATGGTAGATGAGGAGTCTTCAGTCATGATCTAAAAGAGGGGAAGGAGGGGGTAAGGAGGCTGGAGCCAGTCGAGAGGAGGCAGCGGGTAGTGAAATGGAGAGAAAGCAGGTCAGAAAGTTAAGGAGGTACCAGGTCCTGAAGGCAGATGTAAGTAGACTGGGCATTGAGCAACAATTTGCACACAAGACAGCTGGAGAAGCATTAAACTCTCAAGGCTGAAGATAGCAGAATACTATAGCTCTTCTATGCACAAACATTACCTCGAATCATCATAAGCCCTTAACAACATTATCTAGCGATCACCAGCAATAACTTGTTGACGTGGGAAATACAGTATATATTCAATAGCTGTCCTAAAATGTTAACTTTTTCTCATTAAACAGGCATACACTCATCTCCATTTCAATTCAATCCTTCAGTAATACATTCACAATGAAGCCAGCAGAACGGAGGTAAATTAATTTCCATTCAAATATCAAAAACTCCAGTATTTCAGTCAGTCAGCCAGCCAGTCGAGCAGAATTATTCATCTCACCGTTTCTCACTTACAATTGCTATTCAGATTGCCTCTCTCTGGAGTAGCGCCAGATTCCATTATGCCTCTACTCTTAAGATTAATACTTTAAAAGGTAATATCCATCTCTAGCCCTGTTTCTGCAGCTAGATTCGTTTGAATAATAACTGTAGACTCCCCCCTCCCACCCCACACCCCATCGCACCTAAAAAACAATTCATATTCACCGAGAGGCAAGTTAGGTTTTTTCAAATCTACATGGAACACCTCTTTGTAATGTCCACATACCCATTATAAATGTAAACACACATTACATGAGAGATAATTCATTCACTAAAATGTGTCACAAAGCGTTTGAGAGCATCAGCTCAAAGCAAAACAGAATACAACAAATGCTGCCAAAGGGACTGTTTGCATTCTGAGGGAAAGGAGGGTGAAAACCAATTTCCAGCCTCGTGTTATAACATCTTGAATTGAATCAAAGACTTCACCGCATTTCTCGCCTATTTTCCACTCCTCAAAGCTTTCTGTTTCATTGTGAATGTGGAAGGAAGCTACACAGGGATCATACATTTGGATTCTAGATATATTAAGATTCTTGGACACAGCACCATACAACAATAATACCTGCATTTGATATAGCGCCTTCTCGTGTCATTGTCAAGTCTCAAAGCGCTTCACAGAATATACTATAAAGTTCAGTGACTGTATACTTTGTGGCCGAAACGCGGCAGCCAATTGCACACAGCAGCATCCCACAAAGAGTCGTGGGTTGAGTGACCAAATTTGTAACTATTCTTTTAATACACTCTGGGCTCCCCCCAAGCCTTGCCTCTTGCCAACCTGCGCCTAATACTATCCAGAATTAGGTAAGCGGGGGGGCGTCCCTCCAAGTGGAGCGAGAGAGACAGAGCGAGTGCATTCCATTCCAATAATCCATCTCTGGGATTTCCATGTGGAGGTGGGAGGCATGGAATTCTCAGTTGGGTTTGGATATTCTTAAGCAACGGGGATGGGTTTCCACGTGTGTCAGACACCTTGACTGGCCAGTGAGCTCAGTGAGAATAGCGTCCTCTGCAGAGCATCACAGCGGCCTGCGGTCGGCAACACACTCACATTCTGACAAGTAACAGGTACCGCAATAAGCCCGGCACCTCCACAGGTTCAACATCACAAATATGCGTCTGACTTCGTTAGAGCATCGCTCCATTTCCCACACACAGACACCGAGTGTGGCACTGACTCGAATACAATGTGCAGGAACGATGTGAAGATTGAACCATTAAATCATTAATGGAGAACATGATGAGAGCCAGCCAGGGTAAAACAGGAGGCATTGACTCAGGACTTGACATTCCTGACGACTGGAATTTTAATAATAGACCCATTACTTGTCAGAGGCGCAAAACATTTGTAGTGAGTAATTTAGGTCAGATGATTTACAGACTGAAATTGCTGTGGAGCCTGGAACAGTCTCTCTGCTGCAAGCTTCTACCTGTCAGTCTCACACAGGCATTAGACGTTGGAAGAGATAAGAGTGTGATGCACCCAAATATGGAGAGTTCCCCCATGTGACACCCTCCCAAGACATTCACATGTGAATCTGGTAATAGTAAATAATCATAATAATCCTCGCATTTGATACAGCGCCTTATCACATCTGTGAGACATCTCAAAGCGCTTCACAGAACATACTGGAAAGCGAAATGACTGTATTTTGTGGCAAAACATGGCAACCAATTATGCACAGCAGTCGTGAATTGAGAGACCAGATTTTTTTGGATTACTCCTGGAAAAGTCATCTGAGGCATGTGCAGTAAGGACCTGGGTTCAATTCCCAGGTGGGTCAGGGCGAAACCTGAGGCAAGTTTCCTTACTCTGTTTACCTAGCAGTAAGTAGGAATCCGGGTCCTCTCACTTGCGAGGTGCTTCAAGCACTCCGGAACGCTACCCTGCACTATATAAATGCAATTTGTTGTTGTTTATGCTCGCGACACCGGAGAAAGGTAAAGAAAGAGGACAAAGAACGGACATTTCAGGCAACAAAAAAAATGAATTTCCAGATTATAAATCATTCATGCTCCACTTCTAGGACAAAACTATGTTAAATAATAGACCAATAGTATTGATCTCCAGCCTGCTGCAACATGGTTAAGTGCCTTGGAAATGTTTCTCTTCAGCTAGTCTGGATTGAAGTTTAATTAATGAGCATTGCTGGTGAAATCTTTTGAGTCTCGGAAGACCCAATCCTTTCATGTATCCATAACAGAAGCTAGGTGTCGAGCACTTTGGTTCACTTGCTCTTTCAGAAATTGTATTCAATTTCCTCAGGAATCCCCACTCTATATAATCTGCCACGCTCCGAGGATCATAGAATCAGAAGGAGGCCATTCAGCCCATCGTGGCAAGAGCTACCAACCAGTCCCACTCCCCCTCCTCTTACCCCACAACCCTGCACATGTTTTCTTATCAGGTAGCTAGCCAAGGAGGAGGTAGGTTTGGAGAGCTGCATCTCAGAGCGTGGGAAACCCCATGAGCTGACTCAAGGATTAAGAGCGGTTGGAGAGGACAGGTCTATATGGCGTTGGCAGAGGTTGAGAGGAGCAAGGCCTTGGAGGGCTTTGACGGCAAATTTGACTCGGGTCCAAATCCCTGACTATCCAATGTCTTGGGACGTCCTTCCAACGTGAAAGGCGCTATACAAATGTAGTTTTGCATTGTTGTATTGTATATATTTACACCAGTATAGTTCAACAACAGGTAAAAAATTGTGACCAATTGACCTGGAAGGTTGTTGGCCAAGACAGCAGAACAAACTGCCTTGTGTTTGCCAATAGTATCATGAGAACATCACCGTCTACATGAACAGGCCCCAGTTTAACGTCTCTTCCAAAGCAGGTATACCAGAGAGATGGTTTAACATAAATAGTTGTGATAGTATTGCTGTACAACTACCTGGTTAACAACCATCTGGATGATAATGGAGTTTTACTACTACATTGACATCAGTGTGATGAAGTCAAGTTATAGTTGTAATAGACTGGCTGTTCAGCTACCTGGGTTAAGCACCATCTGCTGCCTCTATTAGCGAGTTTTAGTATCATATTCACATTGATGTGATTGAATCACGTCTCAAACTGGAAAACAGAAGTGGCTGTGCAGACTCACTGCTCACTGTGTTAAGAGGAAGAATGCACCACTTTATAAAGAGGAGACTTATGAGAGTTTTACTGTAGATATGTCTTCTGCTCCGCCACTGTCAAGCGCTCTGAGACTGCGTGTGGGGTGCTGTGTAAACACAAGTTATTGTTCCAGCCGTGCCACCAAGTTACCTTTAACACCGCATGCTTTAATTTTCTCAGCACTGGAACCTTATCAAACGCTTTGTAAAAATCCATAACGTGTTCCCAAAAAGTCAATTAGGCGAGTGAAACACGACTTGCCCTTTGCAAGCAGCGGAATTAAAATCTAAACTTGAGAAACCATGGGAAAAGGACACCGAGATTGAAAAGAGAATGCAAAATCAAGAGTACTGCGGAGAAAAATATATCACACAAACACCAACAGATAGAAATGTTGATTTATATGTTTCCCTGCCAATGCTATTTACGTAACAAAATCCAACTGTCTTACATTAACCCCGAGATCGTTGCGTGTCAGATAGATAGAGAGATGGGTGTGTACAGTGAACAAAAATATATTAGAAAGACAGAGAAAACACAGCGTTAGGCCAAATAGATGGATGATCAGAAAGCTTCCATTTTCACCATATTACTCTTACGAAAACAGATCAGAGCCACAGGAACAGACCGTTCACAGCTGAACGCAGTGAACACAAGACCACAATCCAATCCTGGACACTTTATGAAATGATCTCAACCTTCCAGTCAGGTCATAACCATGTAATTCAATGCCTAATTAATTACCGCTGGCCATTGATTTTTACCTCCTGCAAAACTAAAAGGGTTTGCTTTCAGAATTACTTCTATTTGGAACACTCTAAACCAGTCTCTACCTGAGGTCTCTCACCATGTTACAACAACAACAACTTGCATTTGCACAGCGCCCCTCACACAGTGTTGTGTCCCAGAGCGCTCGACAGTGGCAGAGCATGACGCCAAACCTGGGGGAGGGAGGGGGGAGGTGACCCGAGGCACTGTCGAAGAGGAAGGTCTTCATGTTCGAAGCGGAGCCTGTGCAGAACCTCAGGGTCTTGATTAAACCATTAACAATGTGCATACAGTAATGACCAGGTTTCTCCTCCTTGACCCCAGTGTTGGTACAATGGGGTATTCAGGCCCCCTCCCGACCTCAGTGAGGCCACCACCTCCAGTGTTAGCTGATGTTTATTGGTTGGTTTACCTCAATGCGCCCGGTGTCAGGCTGGAAGCCTCGGGCTGGATCCTCTGTGGTGACACGGCACTGGATGGCACAGCCATTAATGCGGATCGTCTCCTGCTTCAGGCCAAGCTCCGGTAAGGACCTTCCCTCCGCCACGTGGATTTGTGCGTGAACAAGATCAACACTGGGTACAAGGGAAACAAACACACAAGATGATGAGTTACTATAATAATAATCCTTGCATTTGATACAGTGCCTTATCATTTCGTTGAGACGTCTCAAAGCGCTTCACAGGATATACTGTAACGTGTAGTGACTGTATATAGTGTAAAGTGAATTGATGTAAGATTCTATGAAATCGTATTTCACCCAGCGGAGGGTGTGGTCCGTGATGGCCGGAGGGAGGTGACAAGAGACCGATCACTTGGGTTCAGTCAGGAGAACTTAAAGGGGGAGTGGGGGAGGTGATGAGGAGTTTGACTTTAATGACAGAATGATTTCCTCTCCCATCATTTTCTATCTTGCAGCTGCCATTAATATTTAAACAAACCTGATGTCTCCCACCACAACTGGATACCATCCATCATAGTCAAGGAACAGCATTACCAAATCACAAACAATTCAGTTGCAACCATTACCCAACCAGGGGGGAGACTAATGCTGACTGATGCCACAATGCTTCTCCTTCATCAGCAGTTTTGTGTGGACCGCTGGCTTTCCCAAGTGGAATCACAAGACATTTCTGCGCACAGAGGGTTTGCCAGAATGCGGAACGTACGGCCCCAGAAGGCAACGGATGAAAAATGGACTGAGTTGTTCAATAACAATAATATTGCTATGTAAACAGAGGTGTACATGTGTGGAGTAAGGAAACTTGCCTAAGGTTTCGCCCTGCCCGTGAATCGAACCCAGGTCCTCTCGCTTGCGAGGCGAGTTCTCTAACCATTGAGCTACAACACTCCATGAATGGCACTGTCTTATAAACAGAAAGTCAGCTGCTAGCAGTTCCTCGAGAAGCACTTTCAAGACGCTTTGTGCTACAAGTTCTCAATGCTTCAGTGACATCACTCCCATACCCTGCTCTTTCCCCCCATTCCCTTTTAAATCAACCTTTCGCTGTGTAGAACACTGCACTGTTCTCCCGAGACTGGTTGAAAGCGGGTGTGTTTGGTGAAGGCAGATTAGCAGACTAAATGATGGGAGACGGAGAGAAGAATGAAATGATTATCCTGTGTGAATAATTGCCAATGATTTGCCGGCATTGAGTACAAGTCAAGTGAGGAATGGGAACGGGCCCATTTTCTCATCTACCTGAACACTTCTTGAAAATGATTCCCATTAAGGCAGACATTTTGCAGGCATGACATAATTAGAAATAGTGTTTGAATCCCCAGGACGAGAGGTGTTACGATTATCACAAAGGACCATTTTCCTGCTCAGACTTCACGGCACTTGAAGAGGAAAGAAACTGAATCTTGTTTTGTTAAAAGTACTCCCACTCACCCAATGTAACAGAAATTGTAGAGAAGACAGAATAATAATAATCCTTGCATTTGATACAGCGCCTTATCACGTCGTTGAGACGTCTCATAGTGCTTCATGGAATATACTGTAAAGTGTAGTGACTGTATATTTTGTGAGAGAAACGCAGCAGCCAATTGTTCACAGCAGTATGAGCAAATTATTTATTTCTTACTTTTTTTTAAAAAAGGCATTATTACCCCCAGAAAGCGATCCACCAATCAACTAACAAGTGGGTTCTTATTTCCTGCTAGGTAAACAGAGGGAGGTAGGTGGGTGTGTGTGCGCGTGGAGTAAGGAAACTTGCCTAAGGTTTCTTTCTTCAATTTGATAGAGCTTGAAATCCAGGAATGAGTTGTCTGGACTTTTGACAAGTGCCGCGCCTTGGAAGCAGAATCTCACAATCTACTTTGTCAAGAACAAAAACATTGGGTCTCTGTGCCCGGCACACAAATGGAGCTTTATTAAAAATTAAATAGAGGCTTTTCACTGTGGCATTTAAACCCTTGCTGTGACGCCAAGGTGGGGCTTTGGCTGTTTATTGCCATAGCCAGAGTCCTCCCAGCAAGGAGAGAGAGATTAATATATTTGGTTGAAAAGCCAGGTCAAGAACATTTTTATTTACTCTCCCTCCAACTGCCAGAACTCCCCTAGCCCTAAATCTAAGTGCTTACCCCACGGCTGTTTGACTCGCTCTTAAATATTTCAATAAAAGAAGTCAATGGTGACACCAAGTGCATTTTTATCAGGGTTCGAGCTAACTGCCCAATCTAAAAAACAAACCAGAAAGAGAAAAGCCTTTGTTTTCTATCGACGACGTAGCTCCAAGCTGCACCATAATTGCTTCAGCATGTAACATAAACATGTCAAAGGTTCCCAACACTGTTGATGTATGGTGCGAATGCAGCATTCGATGCATTGTTTTATTTCAGGAGGATATATTCTGACAGCCCCCCCACACCCCCCGTTGAAGGTGACCCATTCAAAAGAGCATTGTTATTGCAATCTCAAAAAGCTTAATTGATTGGAGGATCGCTTTCCGGGGTTAATAATCCCTCGTCCCAAAAAATGTAGTAGTCACTAAATCCACGGCTATTTGTGGGACACTGCTGTGTGCAATTGGCTGCCGAGTTTCACCCACAAAACGCAGTCTCTACACTTTACAATATATTCTGTGAAGCGCTTTGAGGGGTTTCAACGACGTGATAAGGCACTATATCAAATGCAAGGATTATTATTATTACACCCAGGATCTGGGCTAGTGGTGGAGACTATGAAAGGAATGAAATTTCTAAACGTTTACAACAATCCTTGCATTTCCAGCAAATCCCTGACTGTGCAGCGCCTTGGAAAGTCCTCCCGACATGAAAGGCGCTATACAATTGTCGTTTGTATTGTATTGTATTTGATGCAGCACCTTTTTATGTTGGGAAGAAATCCCGATACAAATAAGTGGGCAGTGTTATTTTGTGGGCAAAAACAGAAGCCAATTTGCTCACAGCAAAACCTCTCAAACAGCTATGAAGTGAGATCAACCAATTTTATCGAGGGGATGGGGAATGTTGACTCATTTCCCGCTTTGGACAGACAGGACAATAATTTGGGCTGAAAGGTTTCATTCTCCTCCTCCTCCTTCCCCCTCACCATCACCCACGACCAGCATTAAATTACACGTTCCAACCATTTGGTTCTTTCTTTAAAATAAAATAGAATAAAATAAAACGAGCTGCCTCTGGTTAAGTATTATTAAAAGGTCTATAAAATAAGACAGCAAACCTCATATAAAATCTAAAGTCCATTTATCCTTTATGTATTATACACTAACCATGAGATACTGAGAGTTCGTGAATAATGTAACAGGAAGGTAATGCGATTTTTTTTTTTGAGTTGAACTTGCACCCGGTTTAATACAATCTTCATGTCTCCCCAATCTGCCCGTCCCCACTCAGCCAATCTCCTATAAAACCTGCCCTCTCCCCTCCATCCAGCACCCCCTCCCTCCCCCCTCCACTGTGCAGTCAGTCGCTGCACTTGCACTGTGTCGTCTGTCTCTCTACAGAGAGCCCACGTGCAGAGCCACATGCTGCCCCAAGGCTATCTCACGCAGAATAGAAAAGTCTTGAAGATATGATTGTTGAATCAGTACAGCTCCGAGCTGAATGCTTCCTTTGTGTGAGAGTAAACACACAAATTCAGTAAGACACCGTTCAGCCAAGCAAGACTGGAATTTTAACACTAACAGGCACGAGTGGGGAAAATGGCCTGTTTCCACCAACATTTCTGTGCAATTCCACTCTTCTACTTTAATAGATAATGTCAGATCTTTTAATCTCATTGCCCCAAACACATTATTTATTTATTTTTGGCCAGCCAATTCTCTGACACACGCGGAAACCCAACACCAGGCTTAAAAGAGTCTCGAAACCAGGCTGAGAATTCCACACATCCTACCTACACATGGAAATCCCAGAGATGGATTGATGGAATGTAATGGACTTTCTCTCGGATCCAAGCCAAGATCCAGCAAGTCTTTTAAGGGGATTCCCTGGTGAAAACGCTGCTTAAAACAGCATGACTGACAAGGCATCTCAGAATTTTGTTTCCCCTCAGGGGGTGGGCGGGTGGCTGGGAGGAATGCCGATTTCTATATGGACTGGCTGAATGAATTAAGAGAGGGCAAGTGTTCAGGTCTCCTCACGTTCACAGCGAGGGCATCGTTTGTAAATCTAATCGAGCATCCTTTAACGTTTGAGTTAGAAAGCATTGAACACCCAGGCTAGACAGCTGGTGGCACAGCAGGTCACCGTTCCCGCATGATGTCTGGCAGGGAAGCGAGTGGGAAACAGGTGCTTCCGACGGAGGTGAGGGAGGTGCGATGACGAGGCGAGACACTAAGCACATTAAATCGGCTTGTCGCAGTTGGAAGCTGTCTCGCCTCCAGGTCAGAAGGTACAGTAGTGTGGTGGTACCCAGACCGGAAGGCACACGGTCCATTCACTCTACTCTAGAGGTTGTATAAACTGAATTACGCAATGAATTACACCAGAAAAACAGCCACAACACTTACTGGATCGTTTACTTGCCCACACAACACACAGTCACTCCACTTTACCACCAGCCGGGGCAGGCTCGAGGGGCCGAATGGCCTATTCCTGCTCCTATTTCTTATGTTCTTTATAGTACATCCTGAGAAGCACTTTGAGACACCCTCCTGACATTTTGGTTTTATGCCGGGCATCTGACACACGCGGAAACCCATCACTGTGCTTCAGAGTCTCCAAACCAAACTAAAAATTCCATGGGTCCCACCTCCACGTGGAAATCCCAGAGATGATGATAATAATAATCATCCTTGCGTTTGATACAGCATTTTATCACACCGTGATAAAGCGCTTCACAGCATGTACTGTGAAGTGCAGTGACTGCGTACTTTGTGGCGAAACGCAGCAGCCAATTGCGCACAGCAGTGTCCCACAAACAGTCGTGGATTGAGTGATCGAATTATTATTATTTTTTGTGAAGGGATTATTAACCTCGGCAAGAGATCCGCCAATCGATTAACAAGCACGTTCCTGCTTACTGCTAGGTAAACAGCAGTACATGTGGAGTAAAGAAACTTACCCAAGGTTTTGCCCTGCCCCACCCGGGAATCAAACCCAGGTCCTCTCGCTTGTGAGGCGAGCGCTCTAACTACTAAGCTACAGAACTCCAAAATTAGAGTTTTTTTTTTTAAAATGACATCCCACTTGTCATTTACATAAGCTGTGTTAACAAGAAATCACACATCATCCTCCCCAACACTCGCAGTTTTTAAATTAAAATCAAACAATTACTGGATCATAGCATGAAAGTGACTCGGGTAAATCAATGCAATCTGTTTACCTCAAATGATTTATGGCTAACCGATGCAGTGCAACTAAATAACTCCAGCAAATAATGCTTCACTCTATTCATTCCCCCGCCTCCAACCCACACCAAACACAGCATCAAATGCCAGGATTATTATGCACAGCGACACCCCTTTTAAACTTCAGTAAACTGCAGGTTTCACATAATAATGATACAGCGCCTTATCAGATCCTTGGGACTTCCTCCTGACGTGAAAGGCGCTATACAAATGTAATTTTGTATTATTGAGACATCGCAAAGAGCTTCACAAGGATATACTGTAAAGTGTAGTGACTGTGGGTTTTGTGGGGAAACGCGGCAGCCAGTTGTGCACAGCACAGGATGCCACAAACAGCCTGTGAAGTGAACTACCAATTGCCCTGGAGAATTTTTGCTTGAGGACTGGCAAAGATTTATATAGCGGCCTTCACATGGGTAGCGCCACGCACACTCCAGGGAAGTATTGGGGACATGATCTGCGGTGTCGTCCTTTGGATAATATATTAACTCAGTCTGTTTGTTCTTCAAGTGGATGTTAAGCCCTCCACGACCTTGCTCCTCCCTACCACTGTAACCTACTAACTCCATTTCGACCTGCGCGCTCCCTCTGCTCAGCAGACTCATCTCAAGACCTTCCTCTTCGACCTCGCCTTAGGTCACCCTCCTACCCCCACCCTGCCCGCCCTCCACCCTTCCTAATCCCAATCCCCAGCTCGGGTCCAAATCCCTGATTCGCCTCTTGGGATGATGCCCTCTCGACGTGAAAGGTGCTACGTACATGTAATGTGTTGTTGTTAAAGATCCCAGACTTTATACGAGAAGGACTTTTCTCTCAGCATCTTGGCCAACAATCATCCTTTTAAATCAGTCATTCGCTTCAAAGTAACATGACGGTAATTACTGTAAACCCTTTCAGGCGTTAAGACCCTGTCTAAATGCAATTTTCCTCTCTGGCTCCTTGCTTACCAGTCAGAGGCTGGAGATATTTGTAATATGTTTAATAGTCCTCTTTTTCAAGCACTTATCCAATACCCTATTTAGAGAATTGACAGAAAACAACAAATTGCATTTATATATATCGTCGTCACGCATCGTGAAGGACAGAGGCGAGTGAAGTAAGGAAGGACGATATATAAAGTCAATTTGCTCAAAAATGTCGGAGAGCACTCAACAATGGCAGAGTTTGACTCCGAGCTGGGAGGAAGGGGAGGTGTGAGGCAAGGGTCATGCAGAAGGTTTGTTCCTTGACGAGACGCCACCTCAACTATGATTTACTGCAGAGAATTTCGTAGCCCCCCCCACCTCCAAAACTCTATCTACTGAACATCATTAAGTTTGTGGAGTCCTGTAACTCAGTGGTTAGAGCACTCGCCGCACAAGCAAGAGGACCTGGGTTTGATTCCTGACTGGGTCAGGGTGAAACCTTAGGCAAGTTTCCTCACTTCACGCGCCTCTGTTTACCTCGCAGTAAGTATCAAGCCGGTTGTTAGGAGATTGGCAGATCGCTTTTCCGGGAGTAATAATCCCTTCACATAAAAATTATAATAATAATTGGATTACTCAATCCACGACTGTTTGTGGGACCATGCTCTGCACAATTGGCTGCCGCGTTTCGTCAACAAAACATTTTGTGAAGTGCTTTGAGACGTCTCCAAGACCTGATAAGGTGCTGTGTCAAATACAAGGATTATTATTATTCACTCACATAAATCTCGGCTGCTTGCGAGCCTGTGATCTGTCGCTAACAGAAGGAAGGTAAAGTGAAAAGCAGGCCGTCCCCAGAGAATCAAACAACAGCTCGTTGTTTCCTGCTCGCACTGTGATCACAGAAGCCATTTCCTCCAGTTTGCTCCCGGCGCTTCCACCATCTCATTAACTGCACCTAAAACGCCTGTAGATTTCCCCATTATCATTAATTAGCCACAAAGTACTCACTGAGTGATCTCCTCAGTGACTGTGTGCTCCACTTGCAGCCTGGCGTTGACCTCAATGAAGAAGTGCTTGCCATGCTTGTCCACCAGAAACTCCACAGTGCCCGCATTCTCGTAGTTCACCTAAATGGGGAGAGCAGCGAAATACATTAAAAAAAACTAGATTAAAAAAAAATAACGTGGTCACTCAATCCACGACTGTTTGTGGGGACGTCACTGGGCGCAATCGGTCACAAAATACAGTCACCGCACTTTATAGTATATTCTGTGAAGCGCTTTGAGACGCCTCGAAGACATGAAATAGGCCCTGTATCAAATGCCAGGATTATTCTTATTCTGCTTCACGAGGAGGGAGCGTGAAGGGCACAACAGGGATATGTTTTGCGGCTATAGAGGGAGGGAGCTACATGGACTGCATGTCCTTTCACATTCCCTATGTATCCCGATTTTCTCGCAGATCACAACCATAGCGTTTTTTTTCTCTTAATAGCTCAGTGCCATCTAGCGGCAAGTATTAGATAGAACAGCAAAGCACTGGCACATTCTGGTCCATGGATTGCACCACTCTGTGGCGAGAACCAGGCACACGTTATTTAACTGCATTATTTAACGACGACTTGCATTTACATTGCACCTTTACACAGCATTTAACAGCAGCGCGGCCTGACGCCAAGCCAGACAGGGAGGGGAGGTGGCCGAAGCCACAGGCATGATCGGAAGATGGCTTTCCAATGCTTTAAGAAACGGGAATGATTTACCAGCTAGCTCGCTACGCTGTTCATAACCACAACCCAGATAGATGTGTGCAAATGGTTGATTTGATATTACACACTGCACTTCTCTCTCTCCCCCCCTCTCCCCTGACCTCCACAAGATAAATAGCATCTTGAAAATCGACTGTGTTGAGCAGACTAACCACTTGTCGGCCTCCCCAACCCTTCCCTCCACAAGCTGCAGATCATTCAGAACTCTGCAGCTCCTGTCCTACACCAGGCACTGTGACCTATCACCCTCGCCCTAACCAGCTAACCAATGACCGAATTCAGGCTCCTCATCCCCTCATCCTCGCCTTCAAAGCCCTCCATAGCCTCGCTCCTCCCTACCTCTATTGACGTGTCCATTCCTTCCACACAGCGGGCTCTGGCCTGCTCCACGTTCCCCGCCCGGCCCATCTCACAATTAGCAGCGTCTCTGCCCCCATCCTTTTGAATTCCATCCTCCGCCTCGCTCCCTCCCTTGCCTCCTTCAAGGCCTGTCTAAAGACTCTCCTCTTCGACCACGCCTTCGGCTACCGTCCTACCCCACCCTCCCCCACTCCTGATCCCAACCACCAGCTCGGGTCCTAATCCCTGACTGTTCGGTACCTTGGGACGTCCTCCCAAAGTGGAAGGCACGGTGTAAATTGAATCTGTTGTTGTTACCTCTTTGGTGTGAAGTACTGTAGATAATTAAGCATTTGACGTCCTATCAGCTAAAGTGGGCTTCAATCAAGTGCTCGTGGGTGATCAACCTTAGCCTGTGTATTTTTAATTACTTGGCTGCTTACCAGTGAAATCCCCATTTAATGAACAGCCATAGAATCCCAAGAGAGTCATCGGAGGCCAGAATTTGCCTTAAAATTTAAGATGTCACAGGATTGAGGAGAGAGAGAGAGAGTTCTTAGCAATTCCCTCAGTCGTAAAGCCAGTGTCCCTGCAATTCTTCAAAATTAAGAGGGAATTTGAGAAGCCCGATGGTTGAGCTGGAAATTTGGGCCTGAAAACTGAGAATTCCCCACATCCCACCGCCACATAGGAATCCCAGAGATAGACTGTGGTAATGGAATGCTCTCTCTCTCTCCCTGGAGTATTAGGCGCAGGTTGGGCGAGAGCCGAGGTTTGGGGGGAGCCGAGTGTGCGTTGGGGTAACTGCTAGAGTCTACCCAGCTAAACCCACATAGCTTGCCTATGGAGAGCGCGGTCTGGCAAGCTTTCCCACTGCTTGTCCAGCTAGGATCACCCACCCGTTAGTTAGGGGTTTGACTGCAGGGTTAACAGGAGCTGAGTGGGAGGATTCCCTGCCCCCAGTGACTGACAAACTAGTATAGTTATAGGAAGCAAGCGGGGTGGCTGATGTGGAGGCAAACACCAGATTTCATAGACCAAATGGCCCGTTTCTGAGCTATTAACTTCTGCTTCTACGTACACGGGAATCTCTGGAGATGTGGATCGTGTTCAAGCAGGAAGAGACTGAACTGCAGACGTGGGAATTCAATCTAACCACCCATTTCAGCAAGGAGCATTCAGAACTGACAGAAGGTCTGACTGAACAGTGAGAAACAACGCTGGTTGTTATAGGCCTGTCAGTGGGATCATGAATCACTGCAGCAAACGCTGGAAGAATGTAATCTGGATCCAAAGATTTCTTTTACCAATAATTACATCGCCTTGCCCAAAGAAAATAAATAGTAATCCTTGCATTTGATATAGTGCCTTATCACGGCTTCGAGACATCTCAAAGCGCTTCACAGGATATACAGTAAAGTGTAGTGACTGTATTTTGTGGGCGAATTGTGGCAGCCAATTATTTTGTAACCTCAACAACTATCTCTAACTCCTCACACGGGACAGACAAAATACACACAATCTAGGGAAGGACAAGGGAGAAAGAATTACCTAAGTGTCTACACAATTTCCAATTAAAGCAACACAGAAGGCACGCCATCTGACTACAACTTCCTTCCAATCCAATTAGTTATTAAGAGACAGAAATCTGCAATTCAATCAGAGCCTTACCACTTCCTCATCTCACACACGTCTGGCCACCAAACTGGAATGCTCCCCGTTTGCCACCAGCAATAAACTAGACCATATTGATTGTGTAAAAAAGCTGCGACAATCTGCTCAGCGCTGGTGCGGATGGAGAGGAAGGAGATCAAAGTTTGGAAAACCACAGCTTTAAGATGGAAAGTCAACTCTACATGCTTCCAACAGCACTGCATAATCTTAGTCTTCACAAGCATTAATTTTACAGCACAGAAAGCGGCCATTTGGACCATCGCGCCTATGCTCATTCTTGATATAATTCTGTAAATCTCTTCTGCATCCTCTACTATGCCAAAATTACAAAACAGGAGAAAGGACATTTCAATTCTTATTCTACATCGACCGAGAGCACAAGGCTAGGCAGAAAGAAAAACAATTGGATTTCTGCTCAAAATGCATTTGCACATCTTATACAGGATCAGATTATTAAATAACACCACCTGTGATCTGACCATCCTGTTAAATCAAGAACTACACTCGATGAAGCAATAATTGGGATCCCATGGTGATTTATAAAAGGCTTTCTCTCCAATAATGGTGAGTTGCCAAGGTACTCCAAGTTAATGTTGGACTTTTGTGTGAGCCTCTGTAAAGTTGTTACCAGCAGGCGTCTCAATTATTCCTTGAAACACGAGCAATTCTTTGCCTTCAAGTTTGACTCCACATGATTTTTTTTACACTAGTTAATTGCATTTGATGTGGAGGAAGAGAGAGAGAGAGAGAAAGATAACACAAGAACATGCACACAATAAAAAAAAAGAATAATTTGTTCGATTCCTGGTAATGTGCAACTCATGTTTCCACGTGCAATCTCTCTCCCCCCCAAACCCCCTAACAGTAATTGGGTCCTGTTGTGAGATGCTGTTGCGAGGTGCACTGGGTTGAGCACTGTTCATGTGGATATTATTCCTTTAAGCGAATAAGTTTCTCTCTCCCAGTGTCCTAGTCAACTATCCCCCGTCAAATAAAATAGGTCATTCACTTTGTGGCCGTTTAGGGAACATTATCCTGTGACAAAGCACATTTGAGATATCCTCCAGGCTTGAAAGGCGCAATAGCAAATGGAAGGATCCTGGTTATTAAGTCAACGGCCACAAAATACACAGTCAATTTATGTTACAGTATATCATGTGAAGCGCTTTGAGAAGTTTCAACAACGTGATATCAAATGCAAGGATTATTACTATCTCCTCACTGTGTGACTTACCATCTTTGCCAATTTCACAGCATCGGCCGTGAGCTGGTCCCTCAGGTGCTGGTCCAGTTGAGCGGCAGGAGCAATCTCCACAACCTTCTGGTGACGCCTCTGGATGGAACAGTCCCTCTCGTACAAGTGCACCACATTCCCATACTTATCACCTGAGGAGAAAATTAGGCACTGCCTCAATAACAATCCTTACACTTGACCTAACATACTGTGGAGCACTGTAGGGTAGTGGTTAAAGCACTTGCCTCGCAAGCGAGCGGACCCAGGTTCGATTCCCGGGCAGGACAGGGCGACAACTTAGGCAAGTTTTCTTACTCCTCTGTTTACCTAGCGGTAAGTAGGAACCCGGTTGTTAGACGATTGGCTGATCACTTTCTGTGGGAGTAATAATCTTTTGGAAAAGGCAAGGCTCCTACCAACTGACCAGACTGATACAATGACCTGACAGTGTGCAAGGAGAGGTAGCACCTTTTCTCACACTCACACACCCTGAGGTAACTTACCCAACACTTGCACTTCTATGTGCCGGGGTCGTTCGATGAACCTCTCCACGAAGAGTGCGCCGTTGCCGAAGGCAGATAGTGCCTCAGAGTAAGCTCGCTGGTAATTCTCCTCCAGATCCTACACACAGCAACAACAGTCACTTGACACGAACAATATTTTCTTACAACATAGCATTTAAATTGTTGTGGCCGTTGCTGCCTTACCTCATATTTGCGGACCACTCTCATGCCTCTGCCGCCACCTCCGTAAGCAGCTTTGAAGATGATTGGAAACCCATAAGTGTTGGAAAACTCTTGGGCCTCCGACAGGGTTGATATAGGTGCATCTGTTCCGGGTACAACCGGCACACCTGGGTGGAACGAGGCAATCGTGATTGGAAACACTGTAAGCTCACATACACCGTGTATAATTTTGGAAAGGGCAGTTATTTTAGAAACGGCATTTACTTTGCCCCCCGCCGCACCCCGCTCGGGTCCTAATCCCTGACCGTTCAGCGTCGTGGGACGTCCTCCCGACGTGAAAGACGCTTTCCAAATCTAATTCTGTATTGTATCCCTGGGTGGAATGAATAAGGCAGCTGAACGCGTTAGTTACCCCCTCACTTCACACTATGTTTTCATAATAATCCTTGCATTTGATATAGCGCTTTATCACGTCATCTACGTCCACTGCTAGAGACTTGAACTTTTACGACAGTTGGGAGCTCAGAGATAGGAGGGGCTTCTGAGTAAATAGCAGTATATTAGCTAATAGACTAATAGATTAATCATCTTTTCCCAAAGCTCCTGCGGTCATTTATTATTATTATAAATGGAAACTGGGTTTAACATCTCGTTGTACAGTGCAGTGAGGTGTGACTGGAACCCACCATGTTCTTACCCAAGGCAAGCGTGCTACCAACTGTCTCAGGCTGACGCCCCAATCCCACTCCCTTAAAGGATGACAATTGAGGGGTATAAAGTGAGAGTAGAACAGCCTCAGGTAACCATACCGGCCTGTTTAGCGATGGCTCGTGCCTCCACCTTGTCCCCCATTTTGTGCACCACTTCGGGAGTCGGTCCAATGAAGCAGACTCCTGCGTCAATACAGGCCTGAGCCAGGTCTGCTCTCTCTGACAGGAAGCCATACCCTGGGTGAATGGCATCCACTGAATTCTCCTGAATAGAGGAGATTGGGAAAAGTTAATCAAAGCAACAACTTGCATTTACACAGGTCCCTTCACGCGGGCAGCATCTCGGAGTGCTTCACAGTGGCCGAGCTGTGGGGAGGGAGGAAGTGACTGTAAACAAGGTCAAAGAGGAAGGTCTTCAGGCACGATCTAAAAGAGGAGGAGGGGGCAAGGAAGACGGATTGGGGAGAGAGTTCCAAAGCTTTGTGGCGCAGTGGCAGAAAGCATGGCTGCCGGGGATGGAGCAGAGGGGCCGAGGGACAAAGCAGGAGGCCGGAGAAAGCAGTTCAGAAATGTAAGGAGGTGGCAAGCATTTAAATGACAAATCTACAACCCCCAACCTCCCCATAGAGCCAGCCTTAGGACAACATTTTCCACAGCCAACATTTTTGTTAGCGACCTTCTAGTCACTGACCCCTTAAACATTTCTCTTGAAAACAGAAGTTTGTTTCCGAGAGAGAGAGACAGATTTCTTGAGGACCCTTCTGCACCTCTGTTGCTCTCTCTCAAGGTCTCAATAGTTACGGTTCAGTTAAAATATGGTTAAAAGGGACTTTACAATAATTGTGCGTTTCACACATCAACACACCCGGTCACACCCCAGTGAAAAAGCAATTCGCATTCATTTTCCTCTTCGAACCCAGCAACTCTCATTCATCAACTCAGTTTTAATTTGTGGTTAGACGGGCGACGACACTTGAGCAGGATTACAGCCCAAATTTCACTCATGACTACATCTCTCGTCTATCCAGTCATTGCCAAGTAATAACATTATACAACTGCTCAAAAACACCTCTTATCTCAAATAAGAGCACAAAAGAAATTTCTATAATTTATATCAGGAAATTATTTTGCCCACAAAATATACAGTCAATTTACATAACAGTATAATCAAAGTGAAGCGCTTTGAGACATCTCGAAGATGTTATATGGCGCTATATCGAATGTAAAGATTATTATTATTAAATGGGATGGGAGTTGATAGCTGTCTTGGGGGGAGCGAGAACCACAAAGCACAATACAAGTGCGTGCCCAGAATCTCTGATCACTTGCCTTTGCGACTTTGATGATATCAGGAATGTTCAGGTAGGCCTCGACAGGAGGCAGTCCTTTCCCAATGAGGTAGGCTTCATCAGCTTTCTGCCTGTGCATCTGCCCGGTGTCCTGCTCGGAGTAAACAGCCACCGTCCGGATGCCGAGCTCTGTGCAGGCTCGGAACACCCTGATGGCGATCTCACCTGTTTCACAAACCAGAACAAGGAGCACGTTTAGCTGTCTGTTTTAATCCTCTCTCCAGTGTTCAACACAACACACCATCAGTACAGAATGGAGATGCAAATCATAGAACTTTGAATATAAATAATAATCCTTAGATTTGATATAGAGCCTTATCACGTCGTCGAGACGTCTCAAAGCGCTTCAGAGTATAGTGTAAAGTGTAGCGACTGTGTTTTGCGGGCAAAATGCAGCAGCCAATTGTGCACAAGGATGTCCCACAAACAGTCGTGGATTCACCCAGTCATGTCTGTACGCAATTGGCTGCCGCGTTTCGCCCACAACAGTCACCACACGTTACAGTATGGTGTGTGAAGCGCTTTGAGACATCTCAAAGACATGATAAGGCGCTGTATCAAATGCAATTATTATCATCATCATCTTTTCCCTCCCTGTCCGCCTCAGCTCTCAACCCCAGCTCATGTACCAAATCAGGATCGTCAAGCGCCTTGGGACATTCTCCTCGGTGAAAGGAACTAAATAACTGTAAATCTGGGTTTGCATGGAAGCAAAATGATGAGGGTGAATAAACTTCTGACGGTGACAGTGAAAAACTTGTCCTGGTAAACGGTAATGGGGTGGGAGCACTGAACCGGGAACAAACCCAGCGATGATGCAAGAGGCTAACTAACTAACTAACTAACTAACTAACTAACTAACTAACTAACTAACTAACGCACACTTCCCTCACAGTAAGCCTCATCCAGTCTATGTGCAGCTCATTCACACCACCAAGTGGTCAGAGATTTCTTTGCAACCGCAATTCATTTCTAACTCCAGTAGGACCACAAAATCTCACATAATTAATATCTCCCTTGTATTTGACGTAGCGTCTTACGCCTGGCTGGAATAACAACAGCGATGGCTTGGCCCTTATCGTCAGAGGACAGCGAGACTCGGGTGCTAACTGAGCACTGTCTGACATAGACTTTTTATGGCTCTCACATAAACAGCTTCTGCCACACACACACCACTCTCAGTTCAGTTAGTCTGACTACTCATCCCTCTTTACTGAAGGGCTTGGGTCTCTTACCTCTGTTGGCCACCATGACTTTCTTGATCGGCTTGAATTGTACTTGGCGTGTGCTTTGAAAGGCTGCATGGAGCACGGTGACACGTTTCACCCCCAGCAAGCTTAAGCCCCCTTTGATATATCTGAGCTGCAGCATCTGGAAATGATAGTAGCAAAGGTAAGGAAACAATACAACACTAGCTTGCATTTATATAGCGCCCCTCATGCAGGGTAGCGTCCCAGAGCGCTTGAAGAATATACATTTGTATAAAATAATTTAAATAATAATAATTCTTGCATCTGATAATACAGCACCTCGTCACAGAGTTGAGATGTCTCAAAGCGCTTCACAGGGATACACTGTAAAGTGTAGTGACTGTCCTTTGTGGTCATCTTTCACATCAGGAGGAGTTATATTTATTACATTAAAGAATTACGTTTACGAGATGTAAATGTATATGGCACCTTTCACATCTCAAACTGCTTAAACATTAAAAACGTGTTTCGGTCACATTTTCGGTTTCACTAAAAAGTGAACCAACAGCTGTGAACTGACAAGAACTGAAGGTGCAACGTTGAACCACAATCCCCACGTCAGGAAAACCCTTCAACACGGTTTGACCATTTCACCTCCCAGCACAAACAGGTGACCACAGCATCTTAATTGGAAGCAGCTCTCCAATATCCTCACTAAATTAGCAGGAGATTCACACAGTACAGCGCGTTAATTAGCGAGGACGAGAGTGATTACAACATGGCGCCAGGTGCATCCATTGCTGTCTTTGTGAATGATATGGACAGGCTGATCTTCAGATAAGTGAGTTGCATGCCTGGAATTCCTGAACGTACTGAATTAATCGATTTCCCAAGGCCCTGTTACTTAATACTTTCAATTGCTCAGGCCTCAACATTCAGTCTGGCGTGAGGAATTCACGATAAACGCTCTATAAGAGGTTAGACACTGTCCAAATACAGACAGAATACCAGGAAAACAAGCACAACAGACCCAGGTCTAGTTTGTAAAGTAATGCAAACCTCTTGTCAATCTGATAGGGAGTGGAGTCATTGGCAGCCCATGCAGCCACACATAGGGCTGACGATCACAGATGAATGGAGGACAAAGGAGTCAGGGAGGGAAGAGCTGAGTGAATTCAGCATTAAAACAAACATTCTAGTTTCACAGCACAACTTCTGAGATTGTTCTCCTTAGAGCAGAGAAGGTTGAGGGGAGATTTACTAGAGGTGTTCAGTATTATGAGAGGTTTTGATAGAGTAGATAGGAAGAAACAGTGGGTTGGTAGCCAGAGGATACAGGTTTAAGATAATTGGCAAAAGAACCAGAGGAGAGATGAGGAGACATTTTTTCATGCCTGACCCGGCTCTTTGAAAGAGCTACCACTCGCACTCCTCCGCTCTTACCCCATAGCCCTGCACATTTTTCCTTTTCATGTACCTTTCCAATTCCCTTTTGAAAGCTATTATTGAATCCGCTTCCACCACCCTTCCAGGCAGTGCGTTCCAGACCATAACGACTCTCTGGGTTGTTATTGTCAAAGAGGAAGGTCTTGAGGTGGACCTTGACGGAAGTGAGGGACAGGACGAAGTGAAGAGAGTCTGGGATGGAGCTCCAGAGAGTGGGCTGAAAGCCCGATCACGAGATGGTGGGCTGGGCAAGCTGGAGGGAGGGACATGAAGGAGGCTGGGGGATGTGGATAAGGCCGCTGTGTGCCAAGCAGAGGGAGAGCTTTCACTAACCCACCATCCGGTCCCAAAGTAAAAAAACTCAAATCGATTTCTTCATCAAATAGGTATCCAATTACCTCTTGAAGGTGCTGACACAGTCTGGTAACCAACTCCCAGGATAGTTAGTGCATTTCACTGTGGTGTCAGACACACACACAGACCGTCACCATGCTTACGATTATACAAACCAAATGTACTGCGAGTTCCATATAGGTATGGACCTTTAATAATAATAATCCTTGCATTTGATACAGCACCTTATCATGTCTTTGAGACGTCTCAGAGCACTTCACAGGATATATTATAAAGTGGAGTGATTCTGTATTTCGTGGGCGAAACGTGGCAGCCAACTGGGACACTGCTGTGCGCAAACACTCGTGGATTGAGTGACCAATTTTTTTGGAGAGATTGTTACTCTCGGAAAGCAATCCGCCAATCGACTAATAACCGGTTTCCTACTTACTGCCTGGTAAACAGAGTCGTGTGTGTGTGGGGTAAGGAAACTTACCCAAAGTTTCCCCCTGTCCGGGAAACGAACCCGGGTACTCTCGCTTGCAAAGCGAACCCGCTAACCACTACGCTACAGAACTCCAATTCCCGTTTAAATGTTATGGCCTCAGCCTCAATAATCACTTGTGGCAATGCAGTCCACATTCCCTTCTAAACTACCATGTGAATAAAATCTAACCTACCCCCAGTTACAACAAGGAGGTGACCAATTCACCAATGAGTGGAACAGAAGATCAGCCATGATTGAATGGCGGGGCAGGCTCGAAGGCTGAATGGCCTATTTCTGCTCCTACGTGTTATGCTAATATCCTTTCTACTTTTGAAGAGATTCCACCAGGCACGTCACCCGAAACAATTTCACAATCTACACTCTACATTTCCGGTCCAGATGTAGAAAATAGGACATGTACAAATCTCTGCCAGCCCTCAAACAAAAACCCTCCATGTTAATTGGTCGCTCACTGCAAAGCCGTTTGTGGCATCTTGTTCTGTGCACAATTGGCTGCCCCGTTTCCCTCACAGAATGTATAGTCACTCCACTTTACAGTATACTCTGTGAAGCACTTTGAGACGTCTCAACGACATAATAAGGCGCTGTATCAAATGCAAACATTGTTATAATTATCTTACCGTGTGCAAATTTGCCTACACAGTCACTACAGTGAAATGCTTTGTGAAACTATGTGTGATATTGCATCGTTTTTTGGCACTATATCAAATGCAAGTGGTATAACTCCCACTCTCCTCCCATGACTAGGAATATTGCTGTTCGATATAAAAGTGTATCTATCCACAGGAAAATATTTTCAGGAAATGAATTGACAAATACAAATAGCAGGAACTTAAAACTCTTGAAACTCAGATTGAAGGATGATTGAAACAGCATCCATTAAACCTTTTATTGCTTAACACCCCCCCCTTCCCAGGGATGGAATTCAGTGATCTCAGCCAATAGAGTACATTCCTTAAATAGACCTACACTCAGGCAGCAGTTTTCAATCAAAATACAAATGTTCAATTCACTGGCATGCCACATCAGCACACTTTTCACACACAGACAACATACACACACACACACAAAAAACAGTCATTTCAATTTCAAACGCTCAGATTGAAGAAGCTCAAAGCATTCGCACTTGCAAAGCCTGCACTACTTACTCTGAACTCTACACGGTGACTGTGGGAACACTGGCCAACGATGACCGACAAGACAGACAACCTTCACCAGCAGCTAGGCTGAGAGGTCTTGTATTTCAATGATATGCTATGCAGATGAGCCAGTCCACAATTCTCTTTCCCTCCCCCCAGAGTGAGATGTTGCCTCCCTCCCTCTATGGCACACATTACGTGAGCAGAACACATGCACTGTGGTCAGCTAAGCGAACACTGATAGAGAATAAATACCCCCAGGTCTTATCTGGAGGAGATTGTGCTGACCTCGTCCTGCCGCAAAACGAGAAAAAACAACAAGGTAAATTCTCTTCTTCCCACAACTTATTTCACTTTAATACATTTCAAGAAAAGGCTGAAAAGTTATATTAAAAACACGGAATAAGTGTTAAATGGTTTGGTTGACCTAGTCAAAACCGGTGAGGGGAGGGAAGAGGAAGAAAGTGGAAAATAAAGAGGCGAAAGTGAAAATTGTCACAAAGTGAGCAGTGTCTGACGAGCTTCCTGCTGTTTGCCCGACTAGAGACTACACTAACAGGAAACTGACAATGTCCCAATCAGCCTTGGTTCATGGAGGGCAGCCCTACGGGCAACGATCAAAGGGTGCCTCACTTCCACCATAATAATAATCCTAACATTTGATACAGGGCCTTACCATGTCTTACTCAAAGAGTTTCATAGAGTATAATGTAAAGTGTAGTTAGTGACTGTGTATTTTGTGGGCGAAATACAGCAGTGCCCCATAAACAGACATGGATTGAGTGACCAAATCATTATTTTTTTGGAGGGATTATTACCCCCGGAAAAGCAATCCAGCAAGTGACTGACAACCGGGTTCCTACTTACCGCTAGGTAAACATAGGCGCGTGTGTGGAGTAAGGAAACTTGCCTAATGTTTCGCTCTGACCCGCCTGGGATTCAAACTCAGGACCTCCCACTTGCGAGGCGAGTGCTCTAACCACTGAGCTACATGACTGTTCACACGCACTGTTACTTTTTTGGTGTTTTGAACAACCGACCGACCTTCGATCGATCTGGGAGAGCAAAGTTTATGTTTTGTAATGTTTAGTTTAATTCATGTTTGGTGGAATACCTGAGTGCTTTTTGCACATAGTTTGCATTTTTTTTAAAAAAAAATAATTAATTATGTCAAATCCCTCGGTTTTTTTTGTCTTTGGCTTCCAGCATGTGGTGGGGTCAGCTGTACCAGCAGAACCTCTGTGCTTTTCAATGCAAGTAGTCCTTTTCAGGACATCCTGTTGTCAATGGGGTCTAACGTGAGGTATTCCTTAAGGAAGGGTGGCACCAACTGGTAGCTCATGGGCCGATTTCCCTCCCGTCCCTCAATTTGTCCTGGCCCACCCACTCCCTCCATAACCCGTAGATCATCAATGGGCAAGCTGCGTGGTTTTACTTGGTTAGACTCAAGCAGTTACCCCAAAGCACACTCTGGGCTCGCCCCGAGCCTTGGCTCTTGCCAAACTGCGCCTATTACTCTCCGTAATTAGATAAGCAGGACGTATCCCTCCAGGGATAGAGAGAGTGCATTCCATTCCAACAATCTATCTGTGGGACTTCCATGTGTAGGTGGGATGCATGGAAATATCTGCTTGGTTTGGAGACTCTTAAGCATGGTGATGGGTTTCTGCGTGTATCAGACATCCGACTGGCTCAAAACAAGTGCACAAATCACATTCAAGCTAGTCATGCTACAATAGTTGCAGACTGTAATGTGTACAACGTTAGAAGTGTCTTACCTTTAAATCGAGCTGTTACTTGGCACCTTTGAAGACGAGTTCAATGAACAGGAGCAGCCCAGGCTCAGGGAAAGAAGGGACACAAAATCCTTGTGTGTGACCGGAAGCTAGGATGCACCATACATCAGCTGAAAGTCAAAGTATACAATACAGCGTTCATTAATCCTCAAACAGCGGAATATTAAACTCTTGTGTACTGTTATGTTGCTAAACTCTGATTCCTCCACTCACCACTGGAAAAAATAATCTAAAAATAATCACTTATGTAAAAACAGTGTGAGCACAATGCTTAAATTGCACTCAAAGCCTTTTTACTTGAAAACAATCGCTCAAAAATAGGTGGCAATAATTACGATACCCCAAAATTTAGACGGCAAAGAATAAAACGTTTTCTTTTTTAAAAAATCTTAAACGTCCCTCCTACACAGAGAGAGAGAGAAAGCAAGAGAGAGAGAGACCAGCAGTAATGACATTAACACGAGCCCATCCGATGGATTGGTGATTTAGTCATTGCCACGCGAGAGGAATCAAGGTTGTGTTCACCAAGGACATGCAGTGTGATGCAAATTGTCAATTCGCAGCCTAGTGGATAAAGGCACCACGTAGTGTGTACAGTGGAATTAAGTCATACAGAACAACAAGTTCAACTCCCAGCCTATGCAGTGAGCGGATCTCAACCAGTGCAGCAGTGGAGGCTTCACAACGGCCTCAGCACACAGGAGCTATGGAAGGGAGAAACCAACCAGGGTTTGTTATCTGTCTTTACTTCCCGACGGTTGCTGCTGCTGGAAAGTGTGCACGAGTAATTGTCTCGGGAGCACAGGTTCAAGCGATCAATCTTGGGCCTTCCACTGTGAAATCATTTTTTTCATGCATGTGCACTTGGAACAAGGTATGCAACACCCCTGCTTATGTCCCAAATGTTCTCAAATGAAAAGATGTCAACAGTCACAAATGTGTATTTATCTATGATAAGCAGGTAATCATATTTCACAACAAGTCAGTTTAGCAAATTCAATGGGTCTACAAAATAAAATAGTGAGTGAAGGCAGATAGCTGATGACGGAAAGAATCAGTCTGGGAAAAACAAACTGAATTCCAGGATAGTGTTGGCCAGGTAGCCTGGAGAAACTCCCTGCTCCTTCAGAATAACGTTGCAGGATATTTAACATCCATCTGAACAAGTATTTCAGAAAATGCAACACGCTCCTAGGACACCATTTGAGGTTCAGCTTAGACTGTGAGCTCAACATCCTTATGACTCGAACCCACAGCCACCTGATCCCACTGAGCCAAGTTGCCCCTTTTCTTTTGGCCAGCCAAGGCGTCTGCCACATGCAGAAAACCATCGCCGTGCTTAAGAGTATCTAAACCCAACTGAGAATTCCACACATCCTACCTACACATGGAAATCCCAGAGATAGATTATTGGAATGGAATACGCGCTCTCTCTCCCTCCCTTCCAGTTAGGCATCTTTCAAAAGTATGTTTGTTTGGTGCACAGTTTTATCTGCAGTCGATTGACCTATTTGTACGTTTAATGGTTAAACTGTTTTTAAGCAAATTTAGCCTCTGCTGCATTTTATTTGCTATCTCATTAGTTAGTGTACTCCCTGACCCTGAGACACTTAGTTGCATTAACTTCTTTCATCCAGTGATCTGCCGTATTCCTGGCACACCTCCGACACACCCATTCCCAATTGACGTGTTTTTGAAGGAAAATTTTGGAGCTGCACCTAACCTATCTGACAGTCCTGACTTGGCACAGGAGCTGGGAGTGGGTGCCAGGAGACAGCAGTGAGGAGGGAAAAGATGACTGAAGGCGCATTATTACCCATCATTGGCAGACGGCCCTTCAGCCTCTCTGTCCCACCCTTCGCCTCATTCCCTCCTTTGATCTATATCAAATGCAAGGATTATTATTATTTACATTCTTCAAGACCTGTCTCAAGACCCTCCTCTTTGACCATTCCTGCTACCCCCACCCTGCCTGCCCTCCACGCCTCCTGATCGAAATCCCCCAGCTCGAGTTCAAATCCCTGACTGTCAGCGCCTTGGGATATCCTCTCGACATGAAAAGCCCTATACAAATGCCATTTGGTTCTGTTATTAACTTTAAAGCAAGATTCATTGCACTTTCATGTTGCAACAGTTCCCAGGACATGAATGGGCATGTGCACAAAATAGTTAATTGACTGAAATAACACTCACCTACTAAGTAGAAACTATACAGAGAGAGAAGCTTTTCTTAACAATAAGATCTCAAATGCCTTTTTACAAATTAAAAGCACGTAGGCCAGCATGAAAAATCCAACCAGATCTGCTTCAAGGCTCGGAGAGGATTGAAGAGCTATTTGCCAGAAGCCTTTCCAACCCCCATTTAAAACTCTGAAGCTATTTTATCATTGTTCAATGTTTAAAGACATAGGAAAATAGAATCGGGCCATTTAGCCCACCAAGCCTGTATCCCCAGTTTATTTGATATAAGCAAATATTCTAATCTCAATGTCCTACTCTGTGATGTCCTGTAGCATAGTGGTTAGAGCGCTCGCCTCGCAAGCAAGAGGTCCTGGGTTTAATTCCTGGGCGAGCAGGGCAAGCTTAAGCAAGTTCCTTACTCCACAAGCCTCTTCTTTTCATTTCGCCCACAAAATATACAGTCAGTTCACATTATAGTAGTCTGTGAAGCACTTTAAGACGTCTCAAAGATGTGATAAGACACTATATCCAATGCAAGGATTATTATAATAAAATAGATTCCTGAAACTATTATGTCCTCCACTGCTCAAGTCTGTCCACTGAATTGAAGGACACAAATAGTTAAACTACATACAGTTAAATTACACACACCACTGATCTAAATCAACTAAATACTCACTCATTCAACTCTGGTGTTTGAAAGAGCAAAGAAAGACTGAGAAGAAACTGTACCAGTGAGCTCAGCGGGGGTAGAGGTAACTTGCCAAAGTGCAGATTCCACTTTGTGATGGATGGCTAACTGCAAACGGCTGCCAGGGTTGAAACAAATGGATTTTGCCCATCTACATGCAGGCTTTATATCGCTTCAGTCACCTGCTAAGATTGATTTTTCCAATCCTGGTCATTGTTATTTTTCTGAATAATAATTTCTTCTTATTGATAATAATTTCAGCCACCGCCCATCTGGAACGCGGTAAGACGTCACAAAGACGTGATAAGGTGCTGTATCAAATGCAAGTATTATTATTATGATAATTGTTTTAGTGAATGCGAGACTGCTTTTCCTCACTTGCCTCAGTCCTGCAGTTGCTTCAAACTGTGCCACGTGAACTTCTGAGTCAGCGCGAAATGTAAAGACCATTGATTTTGCTCCAGGCCTATTTATTGGTACGGAACGAGCCACTGATTTCATCTGATTTTTCTTGAGGCAAAGATTTTTTTTAAAAAAAGTACAAATGTGCTTGACTATATGCCAATTGAATAATTAGCATCCAATTAGAAAAGTTTAGATACCTCAGCAACCAAAAGCTTTGTGGCAGGAGATCTGAGGTCTGAAATCCCATTTAGTGCATTTTGTATCTTAAAATTTAAGATCACGGAACTTCTAAACTGAAGGGGGAAGATAATAATACTACTGTAACTCAGTGGTTAGAGCACTCGCCTTGCAAACGAGAGACCTGAGTTCAATTCAGGCGAAACCTTGGGCAAGTTTCCTTACTCCACACAGAGCCTAATAATAATTCTCCAAAACTAAAAACAATAATTGCTCATTTTCAATCTACGACTGTTTGTGGGACATTGATGTGCGCAATTGGCTGCCGCGTTCACCCACAAATATACAGTCAATTCACTTTACAGTGTGTGAAGCGCTTTGGGACGTCCTCCCGACGTGAAAAGCGCTATATCAAATGCATGGATATAGCGCCTTATTATGTCTTCAAGAAGTCTCAAAGCGCTTCACAAAATGTACTGTAAAATGTAGTGACTACATATTTTGTGGGCGACACACAGCAGCCAATTGCGCATAATAATTCTGCTCTTTAATGGACTAAAACTTTGGGTGAAGCCTTTCCTTGCTGTGTTGAACTGTACTAATCAGATTTCAAACAGGATGTGATCGTACCTTAGGTTCTGTTCGTTTCCAGATTGTGGAGTCCAGCTAATGGTATTCTCAGCAGGAACTCGACTATTCAACACTGCGAACAGATTGTATTTCAAAACCGCCTACTTATAGTAGCTACAGATAAAGAAACCACAGGTATTTATTCTTAACCTCCAATAGTGATGCAGTAAGAACCATCAGGATTTTTTCCTTGGTTATAAAGTGTAAACAGATCTTTTGTTGACTGTTCCGACTCTTAACCTCTGGGTTAGAAAGTTATGGCTTGAAGCACGTCTCCAAGACTGCAGCTCACTGGAGTCTAGACACACTCCAGTCCAGTGCTGGGGAATAATAATAATCCTTGCATTTGATATAATGCTTTATTACATTGTTGAGACGTCTCAAAGCGCTTCACAGAATATACTGTAAAGTGGATTGACTGTGTGATTTGTGGACGAAATGCAGCAGCCAATTGCACACAGCAGTGTCCCTCAAACAGTCGTGGATTCTGTGAAGCGTTTTGAGACGTCTTGAAGATAAGACTCTATATCAAATGCAAGGATTACTATTATTATCTATACCAGGAATTTTGCTACCCAAGCTAAAAAGACAAGTCGAAGGATAATTTTTCTAAAAAGGAATTTAGATAGAATACTAACACTCCAATCATCTCCTCCCCTGGATGCTGCATACCCTGAGCAACAAATGCAGTTCAGGAACTCTTTAGTCTAAAAATGCAGGGTTCTCCCATTTCACAGGAATTCAGCGACTCAGCATTTAACTGGAGACTTCGGCACTGAGCCTTATCCATCTAAGTTCATGCAACCAGAAAATTCTCCGCCATCTGTCAGAAAGTTTGCTTCACCAAGCATCAGGTTTCCTTGAATGAAAAAGATAAGGGACTAGAGAAACACCGCTTATTCCTGACAGGCGCAGATGCCATCCTAAACTCAGGCTTGGGCAACAGGACTAACTCAATTGCAACACANTTTTTTCCCCCAAAGGTTAACAAAAACTTCAGTCAACAATTTGTCACAGCTTGCATAT